CAGTAAGCCCCTTCCCTGCCACCGGGGCTGGGAGTGGCTGGCTTTCTTTGTTACTGCTGCACAGCTGAGGCGAGGCCTGCTCCCCTGGGCTTGGCTCCGGGCCCAGCTCCTCACTGCCTGTTGTCACACACTCTCCTTGGACTGCTTCGCCCGCTGCTTGCGCAGCTTCACAAAGGCCTGCGCTTCCTTGTCCCCTTTCCTGGACTCCAGCAGCTTCAGGATTGGGTCTCCTGAGGCAAAGTGAGAGGCCGGGGTTAGAAAGGAAGGGAGCAGAGAGAGTGGGGTGTTCAGGCCCCTCTTCTTCCCCTTTCCAGGGATGCGCCTTCTGAGGAAACCCACATTCAGATGCCAGGGCTGAGTCCAAGGGACAGCAACACACATGGCTGAGGGCAGGGCCGGCCCGAGGTATTCTGGTGCTCTGGGCACGGGCACGTGGCGCCGCCCCCGGGTGCACGGTGCATGCGCGGCCTGGCTACAGCCGCTGGCACGCAGCCTGGGGCCCGCCCCTAGGGCGCACAGTGCAAGCGTGGCCCAGTTCGGCCCAGCCGTTGCTGGTGGTCTGCGCGCTGGGCTGTGTAGGACCCGACGGCTGTGGGGGGAAGGGCGGTGCTGGGCGGGCTGTGTAGGGCCCCTCAGCCATGGGGGGGAAGAGTGCTGCTGGCCAGCGCCGTGGGGATGTGGGCGGGCCGGCGCTGCAGGAGCCGGGCGCGTGGCACCTGATAGCAGCTGTAAGGGACGCCACGCCATCGCTGCTCAGCTCGCCCATGCCTCCGTCTGGCCCTGGCTAAGGGGCTACAGACTCAGCCACAGCAGGGTTCAGGGCTGACCCAAGAGCTACAGCAGCCCCAGAGTGATACTGGAGTACAGACTCTCTCCGGTGCGCTCAGGGGCAAAGCCCCTGCATGTGCCCCATCTGCAATGGGGCTCCACTACCAGAAAGCAGAGACACCCCTGGGGCCAGCACGAAGCTGAGTCCATTCCCGAGGCTCAGCATAAGGAGGTGCTGGCTGGCTGTTGCACCCGGGAATGCCCGGCCAGGAGCAGTGCTCGTTACTGGACTGTTGGGTGACACAGCTGGGGCGCTGCCAGACACACAGACTCACGGCACTAGCCCAAGGTGGCGGAGTGAGGGAAGCAGGCCCAGGGCAGGAAGGAAGGTGGGGACAGGGAGCAGCTAGTGACAAAGCCAAGGATACCAGTGGGTTTGGGGTGCATCAACGGTAGCCGAGTCTGGGGCACCCGGCCTGCATCAGCCACTTCTTCCTCCCCGGTCAGGCCTGGCACGTCGCAAAGGGGGAAGAAGGCTTCTCCTTCCAAGTCATTGGCTCCCACTGTGTCATAGTCGAACACCGTGAGCAGCAGGCAGGCGCCGTCCTGCTGGCATTTCTCAGGAGGGACCAGACTGCAGAGAAGAGACAGGCACAGGCCTTCTCAGACACACCATGGCACAGGCCCAGCCCCCGCCCTGGGTGCAACAGATGGAGACTCTGCCGGGTCCAAGCAAGGGGCTCAGAGCCTGTTGGAGCCCCAATACTATGGTGATGGGCACTCTGGTGACTACAGCAGCAAAATCTAGCTGGCAGTGAAGGGGACAAACTCGAGTCCCCTTAGCATCTGGGGAGAGGAAGCCAAATGGGAGTTATTTATAGTGCCAGATCCCCTAGGAGTCACAGCCACAGGCCAGGACCCCAGTGCACTAGCTGCTGTTAGGGATGTTACATTTTGATTATTGACTAATAGAACAGTCGATGCATTTTACATCAACTATTCGATTAGTCGATAGGGCGCCTCCGCCTTTGAAGTGTAAGCCACAGCCCTAGGGCTGTTGCTACTTTTCAAAGGCGAAAGTGCTGTGGGGAGCACAGGGCCAGCAGGGCAGACCCCCACTGGCCCTGTGCTCCCTGCGGCATTTCAAAATGGCAGCATCGCATAGCGCCTGGGGCCAGCTGGAGACTCCTCCGCTGACCCCAGGCTCCCTGCAGCACTGCCGCTTTGAAACGCCACTGGCATCAGGCTCCAGGTGGCATTTCAAAGCGGCAGCACCACATGGAGCCCAGGGTCAGTTGGGGAGTCCCCAGCTGATCCTGGGCTCCATGCGGTGCTGCTGCTTTGAAATGCTGCGTGCAGCCTGGAGACACCCCAGCTGGCCCCGGGCGGCACATGGTGTTTCAAAGCAGCAGCGTCGCATGAAGCCCGGGATCTGGCCCCAGGCTCCACACGGCGTTGCCACTTTGAAGCGTCCCATCCTCTTCTCCCCCTTGCTGCCTCTATCAGACAGATGCAGCAAGGGAGGGGGGAAAGCGACTAGTTGACTAGCCTGTCAACTATCCTATAAGCATTTTCTTGTCGACTAGTCGTTCACATCACTAGCTGCTGTACTAACTCAGAGACATTACTACCCCCCAAACTTCCAAGAGTATTTAACAATACTCCCGGCACTGGGTACCACCCATGGTTCAATGTGTCCCCCCCATCCTCACCCCTCCGTCATGGTGCTTTGGTGTAGCCTCTAAGCAGGCAGCCAAGGGCTTGGCGCAGCGCTGGCAGGCAGCCCCAGCATTCCACACTAGCAGATTCTGGCCCAGCCCACCGAGAGACACACGAGCACTGTGAGCTGTGCGCAGTAGGAAGGGCCCAGTGCTCTGCTCCAGGCTGGGTTGGGCTCGCCCTGCCCAGTGGGGCTCTGCACACACAAGCCTGCATTTTAGCCCAGGACTGCACTAATCCCGTCTGAAATGCATGTGGCTCTCCCCCAGTGCAGGAGCTGCACCCTGACAAGCAAGGGAGAAAGCAGATCCCATTGGGAAGGGAAGGCCTGGCCACTGGGTGGGGTCAGGCTGTCTGCGGGGGCCCTCTGCCACTCACTC